GCTCACAGACAGGCAAACAACTAGCGATCTGTTTAGTTTTATGTTCTCGACAACAATACTCTAATTCTTTGACAGGTTGATAAGAAGCAAGCTCACATGTTTGTGAAATATATTGTTTTTTTACCAAATTCCTGAATGTGTTGGTTTGAGTTACAACTCAACTGAAACTTTTTCAATGAGAATGCGAAAAAAAATTGCGCATCGATTTTCTGACACGAAATTTCCACGAACATACTGCGAATGGAAGACCAACAATCCTACTACTCACTTCGAAAATAAAATACTTTGATTTTTTACAGTTTTTTGTTATGAGATACTTTTTAGAAACTAATGATACTACAGCTTGATAGTTTTGATGAAGTGACTTCGCTGAATGAAAACAAAATTAAATAATGTTTTTATTGGGAAACTATAGGTACGAGGTACAATTTGTTGAAATGGCATTGAAAAACAGTGTTCACGTTTACGTAATGAGGTTAAAACGATGATAAAACACTATATACTTCATTTTAAAATTATGAACATGAAGAGAAGATGAAATAAATCAACTGTTCGATAATATACTATGTGAAACGATATAAAAGTCTAGAAAATCATTGAAAATATATTCTTTATGTCTTTTGTGACCATGTTTATATTTATAATTTTGTTCTTCACTTTTTTGGACCACTCACTGCTGAAACAAACTGTATGACAAGAAATGGCAAAAAAAGGATAATGGCTTGAGGATGTTGTTTGGAAATGAAGTGGATGTTTGCATATAAAAAGGCCAATTATTCACGGTTCAAATTGATTGTAAATAAAATTATTACAAACATAGTCGAGTGATAATGAATAATTTGTTACGAATATGAAAATTTGAGAACAATCAAGGGAGTACATTGATAGATGAAAAACCAAATTGTTTTTAAATAAAGAATGGCATCGGTTGTAGATTGAATCAATAAGCGACATTCGTTCAAAAGAATATTATTATATTTGCGTTATATAACATGCTAGAAGTGATCACACGTTAAAAGATAAGCCCTCGTTGGTTCTTAGCTCGTACAAGTTTCGACTTCTGAGGGTAGGGTTTTTTCTTCTTGTTCTTCTTCATCTTCATCCTGAGTACATGTAAACTGCGTTAATAGTGATGTATCGTATGCCGCTTTGTTGGAATCAAACGGATCCTCCAGTGTTGGTGAGCACGACGGGCCTTGACAATGTGTACATGTCAGAGAACAAAACAGTCTGTCTTTTTTGCAACCACATTTAGCAGTTTTCCAGCAGTTTTTCCGGCGCATGTGGAAGTGAAGTTTGGACTGGTTTTGATGAATTGTTACTTTTAATCTCAGTCTGTAGGGTCTACCTGGACCAAGCCACACTTGAACTTGGTAATATACCCGAAAAAGATGTTGATGAGCAGCAACTGAGGTTGGAGGAAGACAAGGTAGTTGTACTTGTTTTTTACTTTTGGTATTTTTAATGAAACATGCATATCTGTCCTCATCTAAGCAGGTAGTTTTTTAGGACCTCCGTACATAGAAAGAAGAAAGCGAATGCCGTTAGTGACAATTTCTCGTCGAGTTGAATTACTATTTTTTGAAACTTCAGCACATTGAACATAATTTTGTTTTTCAAACATTTTGAAAACTGTTATTTTACCCCTCCTGTAAAATGCAGATGTCATTTCAACTGATATTCTTATAGTTATAACTTATGTATATTTTATATTACAATTGTAAGTTACAATGGCCTATGGAAAACTATTTTAACATATATTGCAACTACAGACATGTACATACGTGGCGTACTCATGCATATTATGATGATTACAACTTTTACAATTTTTTGAATCGTTATATCTCAAAAACAGTGACTCGTAGGAAAAAAGTATTCATTCATTTTTTGTAAATAATTTTATGATCCACACTTTTTGTCCGGAGTATTTTTATGATGAAACTTACCGTTTTGCTGAAAATCGCGAAAAACTAATTTTTTGACCTTTGCCTTGAATACTTTTTTTCCATACAGGGGAAGGATGGGGAACTTCCAAATTCTATTTTTGATTATATTTTAAACAATCTCACTGATTTTCAGCTTGGNAATCAGGTGTAAAGGTGATCTAGTGAATAGTCCTAGTGAATAGCAATTCAAAAAAATATGAAAATTGTAATGGAAAAATTCATGCACATGTATAAAGGGCAAACTTTTCAGTTCATCTCGATGAGTTACTCCGTAAATTCAAAGTACTTTTCACCAAGAAAACTGTTCTATTTATCATTTACTTACGTATTCAATAAGTTTGCCTATTAAAAAAACTGGGAAATTATACAGAAACTCTCCGTCTTCAGTTTTGTAGAAACTTTATTATAATAGCAGTTTTTTCTTCACTTTATTTCTTATCTTTTCACACAGATACCAGAGGAATATTTGGAATATTTGGGATTATTTCAAGAAAAAAAAGAAAGCAATTAATTTTAAAAAGAACTCCACTAAGATGTGTAGATCATGCAAAGAAGTAACTTTCAGACGCAAACCGGAAAAATAAGCCCTGTAGAAAGAACTAATTTCCTAATTTCATATGAACATTGAAATACTTTCGAAACTTCTATGATTACATTAAATCATAATTCATTGGAAAAGGTGTTTTTTATATAATTCAATGAACACATGAAAGTAATTCTTTCAAGAGGCTTTCCTCTTCTAGTTTGTGTCTGACAATTACTTCTCTGAATGATATATACACTTCTCTATGGAGAGTTAGTTTTGAAATTGATTGTTTTTTTTTCTGTGAAAGATTCCCACATTTTTTGTATAAAGATGGAGAAGTGAGAAGCCAAAATTTTCTTCACAATGATTAGTCTCTTCTTGAAATATGTCAATATTGTTTGACTTCTGAAACATTTGATGAAGTACAAGGTGTTCTCTGATGTTAGTCTGTTGCTATTTCGCCACTATCCATGTTTTTTTTCAAGACTGATGGTAGTAGACCAGGGTCGATAATTTTTGAAACCAAAAAAAAATAACAGTAGGATGAAACCTATTAGAAAAGAAGAGGAATATGATGAAAATGAAATAAAAAATAAATTACGGGCGATCTGAGTTCGGAAAGTGGGAGGGGGTAAGTTTTTAAGGGTAAAAAATGATTTATCTCGATTTCCGACAAAACTACAAGTCCTATGGAAAAAAGTTAAATAGCAAAGTTATAGGCAATAAAAAGATCTACAACTTTTGAATCCACTTGTGAAAAACGTTGAATTTCTCGAAAGAGAAACTCTTTATAGAGTGTTAATTTTTTGAAATTGATTGCTTTTTTCCTCCCTTTAGAAGATTTGCACATTTTTTTGTATAAATATGTAGAAGTAGAAAGCCAAAACCTTTCTTTAAATACTACGACTAAATACTACGAAGAGATTGTTTATTCACAGTATCGGCGAGAAGGACCGCCGAAAGATATTCACAAATATAAAGGAGCACATGGTAACAATATTAAAATGAAAGTTGTGGTTTTTTGACTACATGTCCCAACAAAAAAATGAGTCTAGTTGAAACAGTAATATGACAAAAATGATAATCAACATTGTAAATTTGTTTGAGACATTACTTTCACGGTTTGTGAGGTCACTGTATCTTAGATCACAGAACCATCAGAATTCCAGAAGAAGAATAACAGGTTTTTTAAGGGCATGTGATCATTGGAAAAAGAGAACGTTTTTCCTTGATTTCTAAATAACCATTATTTCCAACTATCTATCATCAATAGAGGGTGTGGTAATGATGCCAATTATAAAAATTATTTGTATCTGACGAAAAAGTTGATATTAGAAGTCACTGAATTTGAATAACATCAACATCATTATGTGATACTGTCTAAAGAAAATGTATGTTCAGTTCAAGAATTTCTGTCTGATAACAGAAGAAAAAAGACTTTCACCTGAATGCTTCAAAAGAACGGTCTGACTGAGAAATAAAATCCATTTCGAGAAATAACCTCTTTGCAGTGTTGTCTTCCTCAGTTAGAATTGTATTTTTATATTTATATATACGAAAATTAACAAAACAGATGGAATGAAAAGTTGGTATGAAACAAATTAGGGCCTATATTTTTTCAGTTCAATACCTTCACTAATAAATATGAAATTGCAGGTCCTAAATCCTAATTCGTTTGTTATTAGTCAGTGGGCTATACTTACTGACTGACAGTAAACAAATCTAAAGAAATGAACTCAAAACGTTCAAGCCAGTCTCGGATATACCTACACAGTAGGTTGAATGGACTGACGCCTATCAGAAAACAACTACTCCCCTGGCTAATACCACGAAGGGCGTTGGATCATATCCGACAGGCGTCAGTGCAGGAATCTTCACAGAAAATTTCCTACATATGCAATTGGCCATACAACTGGAAGGGTCGACCTTCAATTTCGGAACGGGAATACTTGCAGACCGGTTTCGGGCTCATTAGCCACTCGTCAGTGCAAGATAGTGGCCATTATCGACCTAAAGTCAATGATATTACATAATTGAAGATTAGAATTCCTTCAGAGTATTTCATTCCTCTTCGTGTTGGAGCGAACAACAAAATATTACTCCATCTAGTGGACGAGGTTTCAACCAACTGCAGTTCGTACAGTTGGTTAGTACATCGTTAGTATCCAACGCCGTTCGTGGTATTAGCCAGAGAAGTAGTTATTTTCTGATAATCGTCAGTCCATTCAACCTACCGTGTAGGTATATCCGAAACTGGCTTGAACGTTCAAAGTTCATTTCTTTAGATATGTAATTCGTTTGAATATTCTCTACTTTCCTGATGCTTTTACACACTAAATATTTGTTAATGCTACCCAAACCTATCTAGAAACAAGTCATGTGGATAACTGGATCATTTATTAATTAAATCAGTATGGCGCCAAGGCACTTCTAATAATAATTGAATCAAATAATCATATAAGAAAGTATTCATATTGATCATAAGTTTTTGAAATACCCAGTCATAATAATCATATTCTATTGACTTTCAGGTTCCTTTGATGAAATCCACGCCTACTCCCCAATTTTACGTTGGAGGTGAGTATTTTGAAGCTTTATTTTTTTTATGTAAAAACTGGCTTTATTTATTGACACTTTACCAACATGATTCGACATTCAATTATATTGATATAACTTTCACACAATATCAATACCTGTATCATCGCAAATAGATGTAGTAAATTACCAGAAGTGGTTGAATTTATTTGAACTCTGAAATGTATTAGCCGATGATGCAGGTATTGATACTGGCGGAATGTATTCTCAATATCTTCCAAATCATTTAATAAGTAGTAGTGGACCTCATAGTGACCTGCAAGATCGCCAGACTTCAACCCGGTTGACTATTGATTTTGCGGACCAAGACGAATAACAGAAGCAGAGCACATTTATAATTTTGGTGTGAATGATGCTAAAATTACTCATGACAATGGATGAAAATGTTCACAATGTATTAGGTTCTTACGGAAGTTTTATCCGTTTTTATGTCATTTGATTTTTTAGCCCTATATCTCAATATATATTCATTCTACTGTGTTGTGGTATATACTCATTAATAGAGAATCTTGTACTCTATACATCGATGCTGGTAATTTTTTTCCAAATTTTAATTTTTTGCCACTTTTTGATGTCGTGAAGTGATTTTAGGACAATTTTTGTCAACAAATTCGAAATGAACCAAAGCGTTGATGATATAGCCCAAAAATTAAACATGCATTTGGCAATGATTGTGTTTGGTTTGCGAAATTTCTTTCCGGAGATTTTAGCTTCGAAGTTGAGCTCCGAAGTGGTCGACTCACAGTAATCCAAGACGAGGATTTGAGAACCCAGTTGGAGACTTACTAATCACAAACTGTGCGTGAGACGGCGAAATAACTGAGCGTCAGCTCCCATGCGGTTTTTGATGGTTTAAAACATATTGGAAAGTTCAATAATTTCGAAAAGTAGAAGTCACACTATTTGAACGATTGACAGAAATTGTCCCGTTACGATATCTGTTCTCCTCTGCTTTTGCGCAATCAGAACGACCCTTTTTGCATCGGATCGTCAAGTGTGATGAAAATTGGCACCTCTATGACAACAGGAGGCGTTCAGGACAATGGTTGGACACCGATGAGCAATCCAGGAACACCCCTAAGACGAAACTCACCAAAAAGATTATGATTATTATATGGTAGTCAACGGCTGGTGTGATCCAATATATTTTTTTGCAACCGGGCCAAACCATCAGAGTCCTATTGTGAGGAAATCGATGATATATACCAAAAATTGCGTCATCAGCAGCCTGCAATGGTCAACAGAAGAGGTCCAATCCCGCTACACGAAAACGCCAGTCAGCACGTTTCACAAATCAGCGTCCGGAAATTAAACGAATTATGCATCAAAGTTCTGCTTCATACACCATACTCCCCAAACCTATTTCCAACCGACTACCATATTTTCAAGCATTTCGATGACTTTTTCACCGTGAAACCTTCGCCAATTAGGACCAGGCATAAACTACCTTCGTCGACTTCATCAAATCCTGAGCACACAATTTTTATGTTGACGAAATTCATCAACTTGTGTTACGTTGGCAAAAGTACACTCATTATTTGTGCTTATTTCGATTACATTGAAGGAACATTCACTGAGATATTACAGTTCAAAGTAGACTCATGAGAACGGACAAAACTTTTGAATAGAATGTAATTTATTTCCAATACGCGTTCCATAATAACAGTACATTCCTCAGTTGAACAGATACTCTACTTTATAATGTGCAATATATGCGAATTACTGACTTGAATAATAGATATTCATAATTGATAAACAGGTAGTTAGTGACGAAGACAAGTAGTCAGCAGGTTAGGTTAGATCCAAAGTGAATGGGTCTGTTCGACCCTCCACCGCAACCCGCGAAGGTTTATTGTGGCTCACACCTATTCACCCTAGACCAAATAAACACAGCTTCTTAACAAAGACTATTAATTTGTATGGTGAGTGGGCTTTCAGTTCAGATGGTTAGAGTACGGCTCTGCCGAACTCTAAAAACCTGATTCGGTCCCCAGCGGGGCAGACACAAAGTATATGCCACTAATTCAGACCAGAGACAATTTGTTAAGTCTTTCTATTGAGGAAAGTCGATTTTGGCAATTGGCTACCAATTTAGACGTTCCTCGGTAGGAGCAAAGAGCTTCCAATGCCGTTTGACTGTCCGAGAATATTTTTATTGACTTGTGTATGAGGTTAGTTGGTTGTGTGCTATTGTTCCGTCTCTGTGGAGTGATCATTTTTTTTTCCCGAAGAGTAAGCTATTTGGTCGCTTTCCTCGAAGCTCTGACACAGTCTGGAAGGCGCGCCAGCATTATCGACCAATGACCAGTCCCCACACAGAAGGCTAAGTGATCATTGGTACGAAAATCATGTGCCCTAACCAAGCACAGTGAGCCAAGAATGATAACCTCGTAGATTTGTCTGACTAAGATTCCTGCGTGAGTGCAGCAAATCTTGTGGGTTAAAAGTAGAAAGGGGAATAATCATCTTGACAGAGTGGTCCCGATAAGTTCTGCGCAGTTCGAAGAGAAAATATTGATATTTTATTAGTTTTTTCTCTTCTTTTCAGACGATATTTGTCTCGCCAGGAGCTGAAAACTCTACAACAAATATCGTCTCACTCAGGTGGTCGAGAAAGACTGCATGAGGCTCGTTAGCTTGTATGAGCCTAAGGGAGGTGAATACACAGTTCTAATAAATTATCATTATTATTTTCTTACTATTACCATTGTATCGGATGTTGAATGTGTCCTGATAAATTTACATTATGCATATTTTTTTCAGGATCTCCTGAAATAGATGTTGTCTTCCCTGAGGAAGACGAATCGAGTGTTATCCTTCCTAAGATAGATGGTATCCCACCTTGTGCAAATGGGTCCACCTTCTGTGAGAGCTTCGTCCCGTACCCAAAGGAGAAAGTGAAAGAAATAATGCAGAAGTATAATGTTTTCAAAGAATTTTTTGGGGTGGACGAACCGCCAGAAGAATTTGAGACAAGGGACGACAGTCAAACACAATTTGTTTGTTCTTCGATGAAATATACGGTATTTCCGGTTCTAGCGAAAAACACGAGAAGCGAATTCAAATTCATTGTAAATAATAAAGAGGAAGGATATGCACAGGGTGTGCAAGTTGAAATCTGCAGCAGGTGAGTTCTAATCAAAAAAAGTTCAGAATGTAATTCGAAAGTCAACTTATTACCTATATTACCATCTGCGGCACTCTTACGGTATTGACGAGACACCGGTGTTGCCCTACGCTCCGGGGGATATTGAATCCGTTGTGGGGAACGAGAAGTGCCGAATTTATTGGAACTATTCGTTCCCCACTCTCAGTCTCATACAAGCTAATAAGCCTTATGTAGTCCTTCTCGACCACTTAAAATCATACCGGCTTGCCGCACTAAGGCAGAAATCTTAGCCGCACAGATGCAGAAGGCTGTCATTCTTGGCTCACTGCGCTTGTTCAGGGCACATGATTCTCGGACCCAATGATCACTTACCCCACGGTGTGGGGAGTGGTCATTGGTTGATAATGCTGGCGCGCCCTCCCGAATGTATCGGGGCTTCAGGGGATAGGGCCTGACCAGCGCACACTACGGAAATGATAATAATAATAGTAATAATATTTATTTGCCATTCAATTTGAAATACACAATAATCTTAGTTGACGACATAGCACCCAAACAAGGTTGAATCACCTGAAATCACCACGGCGTTACCTCTAAAAAGGTCCCTTCGAGTGCAAGGCCTGGGTTAGGGGTTGTTTTTCTGATTATTTTGACTTACTACTTTTTTTTTTCATTTTTCATTAATAAACTTCAGTTTATATTTTAATTTTTAAAACATGAGTTGCGGGTTCTTTAACATGGTTGTTTACAAAAAACAGTTCGAAAAAGATGGCTGATGCTGACTCATGCGCACAAAAAAAATTGTGATGAAAAGGCCTATTATCTGCGAGCGCTTTCGACAGCTGGTCGTGCTATTATCATCCAGTTTGAGTAGAGCCTAGATCAGTGGTCGCCAACCTCTTCAATGTGTTGAGCTACTTTGTTAATTGTTAATAAAAATCAATGTGACTTTCTACTTCTCCACCATTGATCACTGGGAAACTGATCTCTCCTAAAAGATTCCTCTTCGAATTCGTATCTATCCACCATTTGCTGAATTTTTTGATGAAAAATTGAACTGTGACCTTATGATACCTGGCTTTTTACCATAGAGTCGTAAATTTCAACAAGGATTCTCTTACTACCTAATGAGGGTCGAAGTAGTTGAGTTTTGTAAAAACTTCTACAGAAAAACCCCTTATATTTTTTGTGGTAGAGGTCAAAAGATCTACATACAATGTACTTGAATCGGTATTCATTTCAACAAGGATTCTCTTACTACCTAATGAGGGTCGAAGTAGTTGAGTTTTGTGAAAACTTAGACAGCAAAACCCCTTATATTTTTTTGTGGCAGAGGTCACAAAGATCTACATACAATGTACTTGAATCGGTATTCATTTAAAGAATCAAGAATGAACTATACTATAATTCCAGAATATTTGGCACTAAATTCTCAGAAATGACAGACATTTTTGCCTAAATATGTCTCTTGCAGTGGCGTATGGAAATTATACCAAACAGATGAGGAAAAATGTTGATGAAATATAAAAAATCACCACCTTGACAACAGTGTTTTCGTTTTAATGCAATGATATTTCTGAGAATGTTGTGCCTACTATCATGGAATTGTATTATAGGCCACATTATGTTGAACTAATTGATATTTTCCACATGAAAATCATGATATAGGTAGTAACAGGACCTGAAATTATCGAAGACTTCATCATTAACAATCTGAATATATCAAGATAATGAATTTCTCAATTGACATATTCAGTTGTGGAACATAACTTTGTTTGTCTACCATGCTCTAATAATTTTGACTGTATGTACTTTTTCATTTTCAAGGGAAAATAAACCTTGTGACGTGGTTAACGCTCCAAATGGCTTGATTACCACTTGCAAGCAGAAATACATGAAGAGGCGTTTGCTGTCTATAGATGATGAAGGTGTTCCGCAACTAGACACATTTCTGTTGCCATGGGCCTGCGCTTGCTCCTGCTTGGCAAATTTTCCAACTGAACGAGGTTGAAGAAAACGACGACGATATGTTAGTGGAGAAGTAATACTAAAGATATTGCGCGTGATTGAAGGTAAGGAAGTAAAATAATACACTATAACTGATGATTCTTACAGAAAAAAACTTCAAAATATCTAAGCAGATTGTTCTGTGAAGATATTCTGCGAATTGAGCAGGACACTCGACTGAATAGATAATAGATCATATCAATGATTGTTACAGATACACTCTTCAGATATGGAATACGAGGTATCCCAGTAGGCTGGATAACTGGTTTTCTCACTTTTAGACAACAATATGTAGAAAGGAATGTAAAATTATCTGATACTATCAAATGAATCTATATATTCTGCGAGGGGTAATCCTAGGCTTTGTCTTATATATTTTATTAGTCAATGACCTGGGCAAATCGACCACAACTATGTANCTGATACTATCAAATGAATCTATATATTCTGCGAGGGGTAATCCTAGGCTTTGTCTTATATCTTTTATTGGTCAATGACCTGGGCAAATCGACCACAACTATGTACGCAGATTACTGTCTTGGATGGTTCATATTTTGCAAGAGACCAATAGATAGTTTTCAGCAAATAACATTAATTTGAACGTAAGCAAAACCAGTACGATGCGGTTCCACAATAGTCAGGGAAATTATGAAGATATTAGTTTTGACATAAACATAAAATGGACTCTGATGCAAGTATTGAACCCGGATCAACTACTAATGTTGTACTATGAAACGAGTTTCAGATATGATGTATGTTTCTGGGGATTTTCTCCACGCCCAGCTGATGTTTTTCTGTTCGAAAGAGGGTTTTAGTACACCTTCAGGGTTATCTACCTGGCAATTCTGTGAAAATAGTTATATCAACTACAACTCTACCTTGTCTCCTTATACAGTGTGGAGCAGCCCAAACGACACGGTCCCTGTAAACTAAACCATCAGTTTTTTCGTAAATTTTTCCATTTCATTATATGTATATTGATTAGGGCTGTAGAAGAAAATTATTTTGAAGTCTAATTTATGTAATGTGTTGAATAACATGAAACATANTTTTTTTTAGTATTCCCAATATACAGAACGACTCAAAAAGCTTCCAAAAAGTTTTTTTATGGAACACTCAGTCATTTCTTCGTCTATTATTTGACGCATCTCGAACTGAGTCTAAAGCTATTATATCCCCCAATGAATGTTCAAAATGGCCGCCATTGAGTTATTATTTATTTTTATTCATATATCCAGCATCTGTCCTTTTCTGTTTCTTTTCCAGATTATAATAAACTGGTTCTTGCCATAGTAGAAGTACTTTCATCTGTTGTCGTTGGATTTAACTCAATATTGTTTTTTGATTCTTTTTGAACATTAACCCTATCACTGCACAACATATTTTCGTAACATATTTTCAGTCTTCGTCTAAACGAACCACTTTTCTTAATTTTTTTCCAATGACCAATATTACACGACATCATTAATAGAGATAGTTATTGACACGCTAATCAAATAAAACTGATGAATTAATATACTTTCATTACACGACATCTAACGTCAGTATCAGCTGGTTGTTCTTAAATACTGCATTTTATTCTTGGCAACAGCAAATATATATTCGCGAAAGCAATTTTATTTTATAACAGTTATATTAGTGTTTTGTAATTGTAGTAAATATACCATACTATAAAATAGTTGGGAAATTATCATTAAAGCAGCACTATGAAATTATAAAACAACTTTGCTGGTTGGGAATTTCTTTTCGCAGCCTCAATCAATATACATATAATGAAATGGAGGAATCCCCAAAAATTATTGGTTCCGTTCACAGGAACCGTGTCGTATGGGGTGCTTCACTCTGTATATGATTAGTGTATTTGCATAAAAAAGACAAAAATTCATATAAAATGTCAATACTCGTCAAAAAACGGGAAAACTATTTGGAAAAAAGTTCATAATTCTGACTATATGGCACCAGAATATAGAGTTCATTACCAATACTATCTATGAAATTAACTGAACAATTTTCATAAACATATCCATTTCTAGACGCGTTTTTTTGTTAACACTGTAGATTCTTCGGTGAATTTTGATACATTTCATTAAAATGTTTGTGATGATTGTTTGACTATCATCATGGATAGTGCCATTACTTTTCATCAAGTAACGGTTCGGTCTATTCATAATATTACCAATAATAAGCTGTAATATATTGTATAAGTCTATTCAGGATATTGCAGAAAGAATTATTTTGAATCAAACGTTTTCACAGTATTGAAAAATTTATTTGTGTTCCGAATATATCAATTTCTTCTCATTAGTTCGGACTTTCGGACTAATATGATATCAATTCATTTGAAATCCTTGGAAGAATCTATGAAAATCAAAAAGACTAGGTCATAAAAACAATTATATTTGGCAAAAACTACTTTATTGTGTAATTTTCAGTAGACAGTTTTACAAAAACGCAACACGTGTTTCGCCATACAATGGCTTCCTCGGGCGTGTCAATGTTATTAAGAGGAAGCCATTGTATGGTGAAACACGTGTTGCGTTTTTGTAAAACTGTCTAGTGAAAATCACACAATAAAGTGTTTTTAGAATACGTTAGTTGTGGATTTTCATCAAGTATCGGCCGATTCCATCATATAAAATACAAGCAACAATTGAAAATTGAACTATTGAGAAGAAATGAAAATTAAAAAATCATTAACAAGAAGTGAAAATTAGAAATTGAAAGATTCTAAGCCGAAATACTTCACGACGTTTCGATTGTTGGTATCCAAATTCGTCTTCAGGTAATGAGTGGACTTCCTCCTAGATCTGACGATCTGGTACTGGTTGAGTGGAAGATTAGCGTAAGCTAAACTCCTGCAGTATAAATAAANAGATTCTTTCAGGGATTTCAAATGAATTTATATCATATTTGACAATGGAAGTGCCAACCAATGAAATGCACAACGAAATATTGTCAACCACCTTCAAACAAACATCAATTTCTTTTACCTGAACATTAACATTTTCGAAAGATTTCCAAGATTCAAATACGAATTCATGTTCGTCTAAAGAAAAACAAATCATGTTAGTTTTTTTTATATTATGTCGAAAACCAACGTACTGAACTAAATCTGACAAATATTAAGTTAATTTCACTTTTTATATTGAAACCTATATTTATGGTAGAAAGTCACATAATAAAAGCGTTTATACAAAAAGACTTTCATAAAAGATGAAAAGCTCTTGCATAAAAGGGCTTTTCACCCTTTTATAAAAGGTATCTCTGCCATAACTTCAGGTATCAATATTACCCATAGGAACAATTGAGACTGAAAAAATATAATAAATTTGTTGAAGAGGTTTAATTAGCTTAAGAGAGAGAATTTAGTATTTCACTTCAAATGTCCGAACAGGTAGTTTACTTTAAAACTTTTGGCATTTCAGTCCTAATGAAGATTAACAGAAATGGATTTGATATTATATAGGGAGTTGAAGAAATTTGAATTGCAAATTATTCAAAAGTATGTGTCTGTGATATATTCAATGATCATATTAGGAAAGTATATTTCAAAGCATACTGAATAAATTTCTGAAAATATGCATGACATCTCTATGAGATAGCATTAAGCTGGCAGGTTGATTTCTAATATGAATAATTTAAACAAGAGTGAAGCTTTCAGAACTATCAGTAATATTATATTATAGTTACAGTAATAGAAAATAATTGGGGGAGAGAAGTTTTGGCTTTCAACTTCACCATCTTCATACAAAAAATGTGGAAAACTTTCGAAGAAACGAAAGAAGTATTCAATTTCAAAAAATCAACTATGTGAAGATCATGCAAAGAAGTAACTTTCAGACACAAACTGGAAGAAAAAGCCTTCCTGAAACAGCTACTTTTTATAAACATTAAATTACACGAAAGAAACATTATTTCCAAACAAATACTTTTATATGAACACTGAATTATACAGAAAATA